GAAGTGGACCTTATTTCGTCCAACGCGTGCCTTAAGTTTGCGTATACCCCAGGCAGGAATCGAGGCAAGCTTCCCAATACCCAAGTCTTATCGACCGATAAGTCTAACATCGTTCTTACTCAAGATCTTGGAAAATACAATCAACATCAAGATTAAGAGCAGAATTGCAAACGATATGCTTAAATACTAATAGCATTCATACGTTAAAGGACGTTCAGTGGAAACCGCATTACATGAGGTTGTACACCGAGAGGTCTTGACGTTAACCCGGAAAAAAACTGAGATATGTCCATTCACTAGGAACCGGTCTTCCTTAACAAGACAATCAATATTTCCAATAAGTTTAAATATCTGGGTGTGATTCTAGATAGGAAACTTAATTGGAGGGACCACATCCAAGAAAGAGCAAACAAACCTCATTGATGAGTTTTGCCTTGTTAAGGCGAAGATCATACGTTTTATGATTTAAGTGTTTGTTTTCTCTTTCGAGACGAGCTTAATGATCTGAAATTTGCAGTGAAAAGGAAAGCCAGATAGACACTATCACACACTCACCACTATGCGACGCGTTTCGCCGTTGGTTAAGCGGCTCATCAGGCATATTTGATGTGGGTGATGGCTTACAAGGGCCGTTCTCTGGAAAGTAGTATATATTTCGAACTTATTGCAAATTAGCATATGCGAATTATACTCTAGAAACTCTCCAGGTTCGACTCAAGTTCTATTGGCAGATCTTTTTCACAGCAAAGTTTTGTTTTTGTAGTGATGGATTTTTTGTCCACAACAACTACATTGCTTCCAATGCATACACTTGTTTTAGTGCTGCTTTAGGAAGACGGGTTAATGGCTCTGAACGTAGAGACGACAACTTCTAGTTGGGTGCACACAGAGGTCCGCGGTTCAAATCCCACAGCCAGGCTCGGCTGAATTTTTGAGTTTTGCCTTGTTAAGGCGAAGATCATATGTTTTATGATTTAAGTGTTTGTTTTCTCTTTCGAGACGAGCTTTATGATCTGAAATTTGCAGTGAAAGGATTGATGTTGGGCAACGTGTAAAAGGGATATAGGCTCTAAATGGGGTTTCAATCCAAAGATGACACACTGGTTATTCAAAAGCGTAATTAGACCTGTTCTAACATACGCATCAATAGCATGGTGAACAGCTATGGATAAAAAATATAATGCCAAAATACTACAAAAAGTCCAACGAATGTGCTGCTTGACAACACCAACTAGGGCATTAGAGACAATTCTATTTGTGCACCCTATAGATATTCAGATACGGTCGCGACCTTTAGGCTTAGGGCGACGGACGAGTGGATAAGCAAAGGCCACGCTACATACCATCAAAAAATCTTACAGATAACAACTGAAGAATCAATAGAAAATTTTGTATCGGACCGGATATCTGAAACAATTGTAGCTGCCTCTTGTGAAACATTAATCCCTACTAGAGACTCGTGGATCGACGGATTCCTACCACAAATGCCGACTGGAAACTGTTAAACAAAAACAGACGGCTCAGTGATAGGGGAGAGAGCGGAACTGGGACTTTTTATCGAGGATACAAACACCGAAATCTCTTTCAGCTTGCCCGATCACAATACGATCCTGTAAGCGAAGGTCCGGGCAATTGCAGAGTGTCTGAACGTAAACGTCCTAACGGACATCAAGACAGCTATAAGGGCTATAACATCCAAAACAGTAACTTCAAAAACTGTTTTGGAATGTATAAATTCAATCAACAACTACTCTCAACACGGCATAGTACGCATTATATGGGTACCGGGTCATACGGGATTAAGGGGTAACGAGCTAGCAAAGTCTCTCGCCAAATCAGGCAGGGAATTAGCAACAATAAACGTAGACAATCCAGTGCCGCTAAATGAATCACGTCTAGTGTTAAAGACATGGGCAAAAAACGCCCACTTATCCCTATGGAACAATGAGGGTGTAATGAAAACCACAAAAATCTTATGGGGCGATCCCGATGAGATAAAAACGAAGAACCTTTTATTATTAGGCAAAAAAAGATCAGTGAGGTAATAGGCATCCTTACGGGGTACCTGGGCCTACAAGCACATCTGTACAAGATAGGATGTGCAGAAAACAGCATATGCAGGGCATGTGGGGAAGATGTTTTTTTTTGTCCATTTCCTTGACGTCGGACTACGCTACCACTATCACGGTAACGAGCGATGGTACGAGACACAAAATACTGGAGTTCTACAACGATAGCCACTTGTGGATTTCCAGCCAAATATAAAGAAATCACACTATCACGCTTGAATTCCATCACGAATATCTTTTTTTCTGGAAAATTCTCACCAATATGCCCTTTGTATGCTGCTGTCGGACGAGTGGCTTAGAAATGACAGCAGTCTGAATTTGGTTACAGTTTTTTTTTTCATCTCACCCTGTACATATAAGGCTTTTCTAACTGGCTTAAGTGATCAGCTAGCTGGCTGGCTGGAGTTTCTCATTGATCTAGTTAAATTTCATCCCGTAATTTATACTAGTTCGCCCTACACTCTTTTGTTCTTTTAAGAAGAAACCATCCGATGACTTGGACCAGTAAAAAAACAAACTTGTACTGTGTTATCTCACCTTTATACTGGCTCTATAAAATAATGGCCGGACTCGAAATAACATTGTCTCGCCTATGTCAAATATATGTATACATGTAGTTTTTGATCGCATGTATGTCATAGACCTAGGGCTCAATTCTTAAAAAAACTCTTTAGGCTACTTTTTTTTGAAACATTTTATGACAGTGATCATAATAAAATGAACGTATTGTGGCATTGCCCTCAATGTAAACGTAGTTTCATAAAAATTTGGTAAACGAAATATTTTCATCTCATATCTAGACCCTCAAGAAAACTAATTTATTTATGCATTTTACCTTATAATAATTAATTATAATTATAAGGTATAATTATTCCATCTTACAAATTTATTTTTGGGTTGCAGACATTAGATGATTTCCATTAGTTTAAAAAACTTACCTACATTTGTCCCAACTCTTAAATATTTGTAACTCACCACATCATTTTCTTATTTGTATTTCTTTTCTTACCACCCTTAGCACGGACAACAACCTCCGTCACCACAATTGAATGGCAATGGTAGTGATAACAGCAAATCATCGCCGGTTGTTATCGACATTGATGTGAAGCGAAACGGTGTTGCCGACAATGACAACAAAACCCCAGTTAACAGCGATCGTGGGTAAGTTGACTCGTTTTCCCCTTCGATTGCAAATATCAGATTCCAATTCTTAGGGAACGAATCCATACCAGACCTTAATCAGGCCATGGTAAATGATATAAGACAATTAAAAAATATCATAAAGGCAACTGAACTTCAAATATAAATGACTGCCTTCTTAGAAAACCCTTAGTCTGGAGCGCACAACATGCCTATACTGGCTTAAGTGTATGCCCAACAGGGTATGCGGCGCTTCCTCGTATAAATAACCATCTCTGTTTTAGATGGGTTGACGCCAAGTCCATTGACTGGTGCACATCATGATAAATTGACAAGAGCTCCTTGCATTGGGTCTGAAATAGTTTGCAGGAATTTCCCAGCAATAAATAGAACCAGATTGTTATTGTAATCCGTTTTTTTTCTAGACCTATTAATATATAATTTATCACCAAAAGCCGTAGAAGTATATTTTAATACATATAAACGAAACAATAAAATATACCTGCTTTTTCATTTGCTGACTTATGGACACCAATTTTTATACCCTCAATCATATGGCTACATCGAATAACTTTGAAAATCATAATATTTGCATCAGTGCGAGGCCAGGTGCGAAAATGGACAATATAGGTCCACTCCGTCAAGTAAAGGCTCAAATCTGTCAAATTATACACATCACTATATTTTTATTAACCCAAGGTCTGGTGTGAAGAGGGAATATAACTTTCCACTCCGTCTGGTACCTTCTCACAAAGGGTCAAAATTTTGAATTAACATCGGAATTAACATAGGATCGAAATTAACATCGGATTCCATTCAGACTTGGTACATCTCAATATTTATCAACACAAGTTCTATTATAAAGATGGTAGAGACCGGACCATTTCTTCCGGTACCTCCCAGACATAGGGTCAAGATTTTGAATAACCAAACGAAATAAACATCCAGTTCTCTACAAATTTCACACATGCCATTATTTTTACTAACACAAGATCTGCTTGAAAATGGACTATATAGGCGCGCCTTTTCTGGTACCTCCCCACATAGGGTTCAAGACTTTGAAAAAAACAAAACGCCCAAGGAAAGCGAAATAAGCACCCAACTCTCTTCAAATTTCACATATGCAAACATGTTTGCTAACGCAAGATCTGTTGTGAATGATATATATTTGCGAACCCCGTCTGGTACCTCACCCACAGAGGGTCATAATTTTCAATACTTTTATCTGTTATAACATGCGAAACAAGTTAGTGTTTCTTTACAACTATAATGCTATATCTAAATATTTCTCTAAACCGGAACCCTGAAATGAATATGGAATTGATGATTTCGCTTAAAACTGGATATAACATTTCGACTGTCTTATAATTTTGCCCATACCAATATTTTTATCTTTATTTGAAGAAGTATGAAAATGGAATTCTATATATCTTTTACCTCACGCACATTTTAACTTTTTCTAAAAATTACCACTCATTTCATATAAAGTGAGAGAAGTAGTCGATATAGTCCAAACCTGGTACCGCGCAATATTTATATGATATGTATTTAGGTCCAAAACCAAATGACCCATTCCTTTAAAACTAACACCATAGAGCGTCAACAATTTGAATGATCATAGCTAGAGTCAAAATATATTTAAATAATGGAACATTGAGTAAACATCTGTCAGCAAAACCGATTGATACTTTTTAACTTGTTTTCTTATACAAAACTAAATTTTTTAGTCTATTTTCATTGAAATGCATAGCTGTGCATATTCATTATCGGGTTTTTAGATGTAAAAAACGCTTGTATTTTGTTATAAACCAAAAAATATGCTTTAATTTAATAATTTACACTTTGCAGATTTTCAAGAATACAAATGCCGTTAATCCCATTTTTTTCTGAAAAATTTACTAGATTGATTTTCCTAGAAATTTAGTTGGCAGCCCTGCTCACGTCCCCTGCCGCACGGTGCTGATGAGGTCGATCTAACTGTTGATCGCTTGTCGCTTCAGTGCAATTCGTAAAGTAAGTAGTGGCCAACAGATTGAGACTCTCTAGAGCAGTCCAACGTACCGTTGGACTTAGCCAAACTTGGATGCTTCATCGACACCTACTATGGGCTCAGTATATCAGACCCAAGATTTCCGTTTAGCCTTCTGGATCTCAACGTTGTAATTATTGAAAGTCTTATACGCCTCCCAGTCCGTAGTAAGTTGGCTCTATTATATAAGCTTCTGCTTGCTTAAATAAGACCAGTTAGGTGCGTAGACGACCAGACCGGTTGGCATTTCTTGCCAGGACAGGCCTTTTCTTTGCATTTAAATAAGACTTTTGTTATGAAATTCTGCCTGTACATTACCTTTGTATCTCAGTCTCAATGTAGCATAATCTGTAAATTTATCCCACCGAGCCTTCCTTGGATTCCTATGGGGTTTTTATTTACTTTCCAGTTCAGTATGAGCGATTCATCCACATTAGTTAGGGTAAGATCAATGACTTCCTCCCTATCTTTGTTTTGAAATAGAGGCTTATTTCTCCTCTTACATATTTTGAGATTATGCCTGAGAATAAATTCAAAAAACGACTTACCTCTGGCATTGGTATTCTTACTGACCCATTGAAAGTGGTGCGCGTTGGCATCACATCCAGCGATAAAGTTGCCCTTGCTTCCCAGCTCCGCGAACTACTTGGCCTGGTGGGTTGGGGTACTCGTATGGCAGGTACAAGGAGAAGATTACGAGAAGTCTCCAATCTAACCGCCGTAGCGTCTCCTACCCTAAATAATTAAGGAAGATTAAGTAAGGGTTATTTTTAGTGACGATACACGTTCTAACCTTATCTCCGTTGGAGGTGGTGATGTACCGTTCGCTCCCTAGAACAGATAGGTGAAATTCAACTCCAGCCACTTTGCAGTGATGCAGATTAATCTGCATGATGGTAAGTAGCTGCTGCCTCCTTCCTCTTACTGCAGCAGTGCTAGACGGAACCGAATCCACAGTGCAGCTTTTCCCCACGTACCTGAAGGTAGTCCTGGCTATTAGTATGGTTGTATATTGTAAGAACACGTACCGGATACACTGATGGTGGTGGCATCCATTGCCTCAGGATGCGGTTCCTCCGTTGACCGTCCCCTCTTCATCATTGGACGAGAGGAGGGTTCAGGCTCCTTCGGTTCCACTGAGACATCGATGCCTTCTTGTTCTTCCGCTTCTGCGCATATTGGCTGGAGTTTTGGATTCAGACGTGTCCTGAACCTGAAGGCTAACCGCATCGGAGCATGCCGATAGTTTCTCCTTCTCGAGTCTTGACCTCAACGGAGCGCCGGGTTGACTGTTTCCGGTGGATTTATGGAATGATTGAGATAAGAATATGACAGTGACGTTTAATTCCTCATCAGGACGAAGAACTTAGTAATGTGCAGTCATTCGAGGAAAGCTGTTTTGTTTTTTTAATCTGTATACAAACTGAGAAAATTGTGGATGATTTGGGTAATTAGATGTGTTTTGATAGTAGGATCTAGTGCGATTCAATTAAAACACATAAATTTGAACTGACACTTAGTGTCCAAATTAATTTCCTTCCAAGCACATGAACTTGAAGGAAGCCGCCTAGATAGTAATTAAAACTCTTAGTTTAGTCACTACAAAAGACGACTGAATTTTCTTTATTTCTGGTTGTCTTTATATACATAATTTCTTAACATAATTAATTAAAAAATGCTATTGATAAATGCTGATATAAATTAATTGTAATGTGGGTCGGTTACTAGTAGACATTAAATGCTATGTAAGCAAAATAAATAAATGTGTTAAAGAAACTTAAAAACATTGCAAAAAGTGAATGAACCAATGGCCAATGAACTAAAATAAAGAAAATTAACTGTAACAATAAAATAGTCCAAAAATGTGATATAATAATGCTGTATAAGCAGTTTAAAACTTATAAATATGTAGGTGTGCTTGATTTTTGTATTTATTGTTTGTTTTGGTAATTAAATCTAAAGTATGTTTATAGAACAATAAAAAAAATATTTATGTATGTTTTAACATTATCCGCCGCGTTGACATTGTTCAATGATTGCGCCTGGGTTGGATGCATGTGGGAATGACTCCATTGTAACATCGATTGTTGATTGATGAGATCTTATAGCTGGTGTAGGTATGAATTGAGATGGCTTCTTAAATTTTGTGTGGATCCTCCAACTCAGCAGGCCAAGTAAAATAAGAATGCAGCAAGCTAAAGATGCGTAGCTAACTGCATGATGATGTTGATTTGATGAGTGTATTAATTGTGGTAGGTGTTTTAGAGTTGATTCATGCAACTGTTTTTGTATATTATCCAATTCTTCTTGATGAATCTTGTAAGAGGTGGTATTGGTATTTGTTGAAACCTTTTCAATTTCCTCTTGTCGACTTATATATTGAATGCCTTTCAATCTTACATAGGATGTATATAAACTACTGGAAGCTGCAAAATGTCCATGTATCGTAACAAATTTGTTTTTTATTACGCAGTTAGGACCAATTTCCATTATTCCGGAATTTTTAATGATGATGAGGTTGGTTTCAGATCCGCATACCATTGAAGATTCAATATCGGCTGTAGTAGCAAAGATTCATTTATTTTGATGATGTAATTGACTCCAAACTGCTGTTCCAGTAATTTTGTGAAGACGGCAATTGCTAGTTGATTGGTTATTGAAGATATTGATCTCGCAAGGGTTAACAAGTGCATTTTTCTTGAGCTTTGACTGCTGATTTCTGCAAATATATTCATCATCGTTTGGTTTGAGGCAGCTTGAAATATCCTCTGATTTGACAAGAATATATTCTTCTCTATGTGTATCGGTAGATATGTATTCCGTTTCTGGTTGAATGGCGATTAAGGTGTCATTTTGTATTGTTGGAACTGCAACTATTTTGAACAACTCAAAAAACTGTTGGTTAACTAAGGGTATCTTCACTTCAAAAATGATTTCATATTTTGTAACTGCCCCTTTGACACTCATAAGCTTATAAAGTTGAATCAAATTGTCACCTGATGTTGGCAAAGCATGTGAAATTGGAAGATTAGCCTTAATGACACTAATTTCTTCTTTCAATTGATGAGGAGCCAATAACAGGGGACTTATTTTTCCATGATGAGTATCAGTAAGCACATTAATGATTTCGGCCTGTGTTCTCTGTAGATTTATTGCGGATAACATCAAATGCGTTGATAGAAGTCCAAACAGTTGAGAATTGTTGAATTGGGCGGATTCTTCAGCTATGTCGTTATTGTGTTTGTCAATCATTTTCAAAATCTCCCGTATTTTTTGATGAGTGTTAATCTCATCCTGTTTTATAACATTAATAGTTGAATCAATTATTGAAGTCTGATTTTTCAATAGACTGATTATGTGGTCCTGTTCGCCTTTTGCCTGATTGATAGTCTTTGACATTTCTTCCGCATAGTCCGTATCAAGAACGCCAAAAAGTGAGTGCGCAATATTCCCAATTATGTTGAATGGAGATCTTCTTACACGTTTGTTGATGAATAATTCTTTGTCTTGTAGTAATTCATTTTTCGTCTGCTTCAGGTTGTTTACAAAAATGTTGCACATCTCATGCTGATGCATTACATGGCACATTTGCTGCAACGTTTGTAAGCCGGATGCCAATGACTCTATTCCGAAACAAAGGGCTTTAAGTCATAATATACTAACATCTTCCATTGTGCTGTATTCAGTTTCATTGTTCCTAACCCTTCAAAATATAATCCCGGATCATTGTGAAATTGTGTAACTTTCAAATTGTTGCACAGGACCATAGGTATTACGAACAATGTTAATAATACTGATAGTATTATAGGACTGTTTGCAATTCTCACTCTTTTTGCCGGAATGACATCTCTTCCATGTTCATCTGTTACCGATTTTTTCTTGTGGGAAATTGTGCTTTCTTGAGTTGTATCTTTGTCAATTATAGCATTATCATGATCTTCTGGAAACAGTGGTGCTAGTCGATGGATGGCCCGCTTGAATACTCCGGTTGGGGTTTTTATTTCAGCAACTCTTACAGCTCCGTCATCACCGAAAAATACGTTAAGGACTCTCCCTAATGGCCACTTCATTGGAGGTAGATTGTCTTCATTTATAATGTCCATATCTCCTTTTCTAAGATTGGGCATCTTTTGCCTCCATTTGTTACGTTGCTGGAGTTCTTGTAGGTATTCTTTCGACCACCTTTTCCAGAATTGGTGCTTAATATGCGAAATTAACTTCCAGTGTGTTATCCTGATGTTTTCGAAGTTTCTGCTCTACTATCTACCTGCGAAGTTAGAGCTTCGCGGATTAGAAAATGTCCCGGCGTCAATGCTTCAAGGCAATCTGGATCGTTTGAAAGAGGTGTGAGCGGACGCGAATTTAAAATAGCTTCGATTTCTACTATTATTGTCTCTAATTCTTCATGAGTAAGTGTTTCCGTTGAAACACTACGGACCAAGAGACGTTTTGCGGACTTCACTGCAGCTTCCCATAAGCCTCCGAAATGCGGAGCTCTTGGTGGAATGAAATGGAACTGTATGCCCTTGGAACTTGCAGCTGATAAAAGTAGCTCTTGCGCCTTGTCCGAATATAAGGTTTCTGATAATTCCTCTAAACTATTTTTGGCTCCAACAAAGTTTGTAGCGTTATCGCAGTATATATTTTGGCAGTGACCTCTGCGAGCTATAAATCGTTTAAGAGCGCCAATGAATGATTCGGTTGATAGGTCCGATACGAGCTCTAAATGAACAGCCTTTGTTGCAAAGCAGCAGAATACAGCGACATAAGCCTTTGTTGGTCGCTTGCCCCTGACCTTATAATGTATCCAAAATGGCCCACAGTAGTCGACTCCAGAGTTGATAAATGGTCGAGCAGGAACTACCCTTGTTGCTGGCAAATTTCCCATTATTTGTTGATACAGTTGTGGTCGCGCTCTATTACATTTTATGCATCTTTGAACGGTAGACCTTGCTGTTATCTTGCCTTTTATTGGCCAGAATCGCTGTCTTATTGCGTTTAACAGAGCTTGAGCTCCACAATGTTTATTTTCTTCATGAACTGTCTTAAATAGCAATTTCACCAAAGGATCATTATAAGGCAATATCATTTGGTGTTTCGCATCCATTTGTAGCATAGCATGTTCCAATCTTCCTCCAACCCGAAGAATGCCTTCATCATCCAAAAACGGTGATAAACTGCATAGCGAGCTATGCTTATTAATCTGCTTTTCAGCCTTCAATGCGTTGATATCAGCCGCAAATTCGGATGATTGTACGGCTTGAATTATTCGACGAAGGGAGTCGTCTAATTCGTTGGAAGACACTGCTATATGTTGAGGCGTATGCCAAAATTCTTTGTAACTTCCTGAATGAATTTTTGTGCTCGATCATATGTATTAGATGCATGTCAGAAGCTACTATTGACGTCGTAGCTGCAGTCTTTAACTCCATGCTATTTGTTATATCCTCTTGCGGAGAGAATTTGGTCGGCCATAGTTCTTCCTTTCCATGAAGAAAAACTGAACCATGATACCATAATCGGCATTTAGAAAGATCAGCTGGCGAGAGTCCTCGGGATAAAATGTCGGCAGGATTTTCTTTTGACTTAACGTGGTTCCATTGTTCTGGCAATGTTAAGTTTTGTATGGTGGATACCCTATTAGCCACAAAAGTCTTATATACGTTGGACCTTGATTTTATCCAGGCGAGTACTATTTCAGAATCAGTCCATAAAAACATCGAACTATTCTGAAGCCTTAGGTCATTTTTCACCCTGGTAGCCAGTTGAGCTGCTACCACTGCGGCACATAGCTCTAATCGCGGTAGAGTTTGTTTTTTCAAAGGAGCTACCCTGGATTTAGCACAGATCAGACGTACAACTACTCGTCCATCTTTTCCAATAAAACGAATATAAATAGCCGCGCCAAAAGCTCTTTCCGATGCATCGGCAAACACATGCAACTGGATTTTCGTCGGGAACTCCCCACAGAATACATGTCGCGGTATCTTAAAGTTGTTGAGACCTTCCAATTCCCTTCGAAATGTTTTCCAAGTGGCACAAAGTTTTTCGGGTAATGCTTCGTCCCAATCTAATGTATGTTGCCACAGCTGCTGAATAAATATTTTTGCCTTCACCACAATCGGTGCAAGTAGGCCAAGCGGATCAAATAATTTTGCTAGTTCAGACGTAACTACTCGTTTTGATATGATTTCATTATGATCAATGTTCGTTTTTACACAAAATTGATCTGCTTGCGGCATCCAATATAATCCCAACGTCTTTATTGTTTGAGATTCGTTGAGATCCATGTTCACTTCTCGATCGCTATGTGGTATGTCCTTCAGCAATCTTGGTGTATTGGATGACCATTTCCTTAGAATGAAGCCGTGTTGTCTCAAGATTGTTATTAACTCCTTTTGTATTTCAATAGCTGTACTTAGGCTATCTGCACCGCCGAGACCGTCATCCATATAAAAATTATCTTTCAGCATTTGTGAGCCTAATGGATAACGCTCCATGTTCTCGTTTGCAATCTTTTGTAAGCATTTTGTAGCCA